TTACCTGACGATCGTAGTAATACGTGAAACTCAGAGTTGTGACAAAGCCTCCAATCTCTCTTGTAATACAGAAATACCTATATTCTGCCTGTGACTACTCACAGAGAAAGAGTGGCCACAACTGTACATTCCGCATGTAACTGTTCGCATGGAATTATAGTGGTCACAACTGCATTCTGTGACCGCTCATAGGGAATTATAGTTTCCACAACAAATCCTGCAGTACGAAGCACCCTGCGAGCAGTCACGAACTGTGTACTTTACACATGTACATGTATGGTGATTTGTGACTGGTCATGGGGCATTGTGACTGGTAAACTAATTTGTGACTGGTCATGGGGGGTTTGTGACTGTTTGACTGGTCACGGGGACCGTGATTGGTCACGGGGCCTTGACTGGTCACTGAGTCCTACAGATAGATAGATAGATAGAGAGAGAGAGAGAGAGAGAGAGAGAGAGAGAGAGAGAGAGAGAGAGAGAGCGAAAGAGAGGGAGAGAGAGAGGGGGAGAGAGAGAGATAGATAGAGATAGATAGATAGATAGATAGAGAGAGAGAGAGAGAGAGAGAGAGAGAGAGAGAGAGAGAGAGAGAGAGAGAGAGAGAGCTGCTCGCTGCAGACTCTGCTTGCAAGTCAGGTGCGTCCGCATTCTCATCTATCGCTTGACCTTTACCACTGGCTACACGCTTAGCCTGCTGATCCAAATAGCCCTGAAATGAGCGCTGGCCCTCTGGATGTCGACTCTTGATTTTTTATTTTCCACAAAGCGAAAGCATCTTCAAAAACACAACCAACTTTGTCAAAACAAACTGCAAAGGAAATGATTCTGAGATCGAGGAATCGATGTAACTGGAGACTACATTGTATGTTGCGCCCAGTTCATTCGATCTACGCTGTGTCACAAAAATACCCCAGCACTGCGGCGGCACCACTTCTACACCTGGGCTAGTCACCAGACGTCCTCGGACCGTCAGGCGGACTGCAGGCGCATGCACTGCGCCTGCATCAAACAATTCTCCGTACCCATATCAGTACCGTATTTCCCCGTAAGTTAGTACGTACTAACTTTCGAACTTAGCAGCCACATGAGTACTAACTTTCGGGGGTGGTACTATCTTTCGGGGAGTACTTTTTTATCGCGGGTAAATGACACGCAGTGGGAAGCCTGCGCAACTCTAGTGTCTGTGCATATGATGTATGTACTGTACGGGGTCTGTACATGCAGGACGGGTACGAGCTTACTATCTTTCGGGGGGGGGGGGGGACTGTCTTTCGGGGTGATAACCTCGGCAGTGGAAAGTGTATTTTTTATAGGGGGATACTAAGTCATTGGGGAGAACTTACTTACGGGGAAATACGGTAGTATGGACCGAGCCGTTGGTGGTGCAGGGTTGACCCCACTTGACCTTATGAATGGGCACTTGAACTCTGGGGTATTAATTAAGTGGCCACTTGACCTTATAATTGGATAAGTGGTGATTAAGTGGCCACTTGAAATGTGAAGTGTTTTTTAAGTGGGCCAGATGTCACATTTGATTGGATTAATGACTAAGTGGTGTTGAAGTGTCTATCAGCGACATAAGCGCTTTTGAAGTGGTGGGTGTGGTATTAATAAAATTGACTGTCTGGGATGTTTAAAAAAAAATTGAATTATGATGTTTTGGAAAGTTCTAGGTATTGCCAGACTAATTAAAACTAGCTCTACCAACAGTATGATGTCGTAGGGGTATTTTGGGATGTGTGACTCGTTTGTAAATTCGTATAAGATGCGGCATTTACTGGAACATGTGATCAGTTAGCATCATGGATATTGAAGAGCAATTTGAAATACTGCGTGCGTACAAGGAGAGTCAACGCACCGGCGTTGAGCATGACGATGACCCTTGTCCTGATGCCCCTCCTCCTAGTCCAAACATTGACAAATGTTTGCATAATCATCAAGTTGTGAATGAGGGACACTTTGTGTGTACTGTATGCGGACTTGTTCTTGATAGCGTGCTGTTGCCGGAGGTGAATTTTTCAGAGAGGTGTATTCTCCCACGGCTATATGCCGCTCGGGAGCGATTGACTGCCGTCGACAGACATCTGGTACGCTTCATGGAAAAGACCGGTGTCCTGATGAACCTTACCGGTGTGCTGGAACCGTTGCAGTACATGAAGAAGGATAATGGCTACAAGAGCCTGAACTATGCCATAGCTCTGACATGCATCTGTGCTGACCACGACGAGATTTGCCAGAAGCTTCAGTCATATCTTACAAAGAGCCATGTGGCGTGGGCACGATCCAGCAAGCTAATGAGTTGCAAACCAGAGCAATTTTCGAAAGCCTGGCTCCGCCAACTTCTAATCCGTACAAAGCCTCTTACCCCTTTTCAGCTGAAGAAGTGTAAGTGTAGTGTCTGCCAGCCTGCTTGTCAAACCCGGCGGAGTGTTCCGGTTAGTCTCGCCCTTGGCTGTGTCGTCTCTAACCCTCGGAATGTTTTGTGACAAGTATAGTCACGGCTGGCATAACGCAACTTCACCCAGTCCTAACCCAACATACACATAACCAACTGATCTCGTCAGAGCAGGGAATATGTTCACTGTTTGGGAGAAGAACACCGAAAGAACCTCTCGCTAAAAGCAGCAGCATGCTATGATATAACACATTGTAGAAAACAGCAAGCAGCGGCAGTAGCGATAGTACTTGCTAAACATGCAGCTGAACTGCGACTTTGTCCGCTGCGCGGAACGGCGATCGGACATGCACACGCACACACACACAGGTCTGCGTGATCTAGAAGCGGCTGTCATCATAAGATACGCAAAGTGTGAAAGAGTATTAGAACGGGGCAAGCCTAGACCCGGCGTCTGGACCGCAATATACTTGATTAAAAGCATAGCCAGTCAATGGTCAAGTAGGTGCACTCACGCACATCCACACCTCGCGTACTACTACTATATTGCAAATTCATAACAGGTATTGCACTTTCTACTGCAAATGCACAGTCGTGCGCTTCATCTATTGACAGCAGCCAAACCTATCATTTTACAGTCTCACTGGGTAGGTGACCTCGCCGGCACACACCGTACAGTATATTGTACAATAGCTGTTCCAACTACGGTCCGGAAGACACAGTGTGTCCACGTTCTACGCACAGTAGCTATCAGAAGTAAGTTACAAGCCCTCACTCTCGGGCTATGACATCTCCCCGCGCCTTCGAAAAGACTGCCACGTCCTCGTGGCGACAACATTCGGCTTACCGTCGTCTTCTCAACTGGGTTTGCATCCCATAGTACTGCGGTGGCCGGACGGTCCTCCCAGCTCGAGTCTGAACCGCAATCTGGGCTGGTTGTGGCGGTGGCTGGTTGACGGGATCTGCACAACTGGTTGGCCGCCAAAACCGTCCACGCCGCCATACGTCTCATGCTGGGCATCCTCATCAGAATCCCAATACAACAAGTCTGTAGGGTCCGGCACATACACATCAGCCGGGGGCGTTTCGACAGACTCAGCATCTTCAGGTTCCTCCACCTCACTCACAGCGTGAAGATGGTTAGGCCTTACTCTACATCGTTTTAGCCTGTTCACGTGCACAATCTGCACCTTGACATTGGCCGCTCGTGTAACTCTTACCCGATACACTACGTCTGACAGCTTCGTTACTATTTCAAACGGCCCTTGCCAGAGCTTGGAGAACTTCGGAGTAGTCCCCACCGGAACTGCTGGTACCAACAACCATACCAGATCTCCTTCTGCGAATGAAACGGGTACTACTCCCGAATCATGCAAGTGAGCTTGATACTTGTGCACGGTTTCCAACTTCTTATGCACAACTGCATGCACATGCGTTAGCCTTTGTCTCAAATCTCTGACGTAGCTAGGCTGGCATAAGCTGACCATCTCATCAGGTGGTAAGCCATAAGCGACATCCTGTGGCAGACACATCTGTCTACCGAACAGTAGATACACAGGCGTGTAACCCGTACTCGACTGAGGCGTGGCTCTGTAAGCCATCAAAACAGCCGCCAAATGCACATCCCAATCTCGCTGATGCGCATCGACATAGTGAGAAATCATCTTCTCCAATGTCTGATTAAAAAGCTCTACCAACCCATTTCCAGCAGGATGATAAGCCGTCGTCCTGGTCTTTTTAATACTAAGCATTGAACAGACATCTCTGAACAATCTGGAGTCAAAAGTTTTTGCCCTGGTCAGTGTGCACGCTCTCCGGTGCTCCAAACCTTGCAACAAACTCACTCACAACTTTGAAGCTATCGTGGATGCATCCATCCTCTTCAGCGGATACGCTTCAACCCATTTGGTAGGGAGGGAGCGAGGGAGGTAGGTAGGTAGCGCTGGAGGGAGGGAGGGAGGGAGAAAGAGAGAGAGAGAGAGAGAGAGAGAAGAGAGAGAGAGAGAGAGAGAGAGAGAGAGAGAGAGAGAGAGAGACGAGAGAGAGAGAGAGAGAGAGAGAGAGGGAGAGAAAGAGCGCGGGAGATAGATAGATAGAGAGAGAGAGAAAGAGAGAAAAGAGGAGAGAGAGAGAGAGAGAGAGAGAGAGAGAAAGAGAAAGAGAGAGAGAGAGAGAGAGAGAGAGAGAGAGAGAGAGAGAGAGAGAGAGAGAGAGAGAGAGGGGAGAGAGACAGAAATAGAGAGAGAGAGAGCCATTAATTCGTATGGTGCAACGATATGGAATTTTCATGTCACATGTAGCACTGCCGTAAAACGTAACAAAAAGTGCAATGTGGACAGTGCGAAACCACGGGAGGGACTGATAATAAGACGTAAAAACAAATCATTGAATGACAAGTCACACATACTAGTTCTTTGTTAAAGCACATGTATGAGTCACCAGCGGTTCCACTGTGCCTTCGCTGGAGAAATTTTTTCTGCAGGTGGCTGTGCATAGCTATGTCATTTTTCACAACAGGTGAGTGTTTGCATTTCCTTGTTCAGACGTGGATGAGTGTAATGCTAGTGGTGGGCATAACTGTCACAGAGATGCTACTTGTACCAACACTGCTGGAAGTTTTACCTGCGCCTGTAACACTGGGTACAGTGGAAATGGTACTCTGTGTGAAGGTGAGTTGTATGCTTACA